TCTCTTAATCCTGTTCCTTACCTCATTGCCCACGAATTATGAGGTATTTTTCTGGTCTGGTTGGTAGAAACAAGCACAATTACTGGCCTTGCATTCCCTCTAATTCTCCTTTCCCAGCAGTAAGTGTTACCTGAGTACTCAAGAGGGGACATCCATGGATATCCAGGGGATTTTCTGTGAAGTCTTTATAGCACTCTGTCCTGTGACTTCTAGCTATCTTGATCTCCTCAGACTTTCAGCTATGTCTCTTCAAATTGGAGAGTCTGTTGGGCTCTGCTTGGGTTCCCTTTCTCTGTACCGGCACTTCTCTTAAGGCAGTAGGCTGGGACAATCCTAGGAATTGCCTTGTTTATATCCCAGCCTTGGGGAGCACTGTCCATCCTTGCCTGATGTGCAGGAACTGAAAAACCATTATTTCATGTATTTCCTCGGGGTTTTTTGTTGTTGTTTTAGGCGGGAGGGTAAATCTGGCTCCTGTTACTCTGTCTTGGCTGTAAGCTGAAGTTGATATGTATCCACTTTTTAAAATGTATATGTAGTTAGAGAACATATAGAGATGGGTTTGTGTCTACCCCTTACGTCATTCTGCAACCTGTTTTTTCATTTAAAATGTTTTTGAGCTTATTTTTCATGGCAGGATTATATCTTATTCATCCATTCTCCTATTGATGGACATTGAAGTTGTTTCTGATCTTTGCTACTACAAATAATGCTGTAACCAACATTCTTACGTATGCCTCCTTGTACCATGTGTAAGAGTCCCTTAAGGGAAGGTACATTGGTGAAATTGCTCTCTACTGTGGCCATATCAGTTTATACTCCTACAATGGATGAAGAAGACCCATTTCTCTATAATCTTGCCAATATTTGATATTGGCAAGCGACTAAGTTTTTGCCAATTCATTAGCCCATTATGGCTTTAATTTGCATTTCTCTTACTTTCAGTGAGGTTGAGTTCCTTTTCATATTTTTATTGGCCATTTTTGTTTCTTCTACGAATTTAGTTTTTGCCTAACTTATTGAATTATTTCTTATTATATTTTAATTTATTTGAATAAACGTTTACAAATTTGGATACTAGGATACTAACCTTTTATTTTATATATAAATTATATAGTATATAATTAATTTATCTAAGTTTATCCCTTGTTTTATAATTTTCTATTGTCTGGTGGCATAGACTTTAAATTTTATCTGGTTAAGTTTATCAGATTTTTCTTTTATGTCTTTTGATTTTTGCCTTAAGGAAGCCGTTCCTATTACCGAAGTTAAGAAATCCTCTTATAGTCTCCCAATAATTTTAAAGTTAAATGTTTACAGTTAGATATTTAATCTATTTGAAGCTTATGTTTGTGTATACGATGAGGTAGGAATATAAATTGCATAGTTCATACATATAGAGGAAAATAACCCAATGCTATTTTTTGAGCTGTCTACCTTTTCACCATTTATGTTTCTTTACCATATAGCAAATTCCAAAATCATAAGAGTCCGTGTCTTGAATTTTTTTTCTGTTCCATTAATCCTTTTTTTACTTTTCTTGCACCAATGCTCACTATTTTAATTTTTGTTGCTTTATAATATCTTGCTATCTTGGAGGGCAAATCCCCTCTTTGTTTTTCTTTTTCAAAATTATCCTGAATTTACCCTTCCATATGAATTTGCAATCACTTTCCTGTTCTCTGAAAATCCTGTTAGTTTGATTGGGTTTGTATTGAACCTACAGATTAATTAGTGAATCATGACTCTCTTTACAATGAGACTTACCTATTAACCTGGGATAACTCTCTATTTAGTCAGATTTATTGTTACATTTTTCAGTAAAGCTTTGTAGTTTTTGCAAATTGTTTTACATAGTTTTACTGAATTTATTCCCAGTTACTATATAGCTTTATTTGCTGCTGTAGATGGGATCATTTTTTCCTACTTGGTTATTGTTGGTAATAAGAAAGCTATGGGGCCGGCTGAGTGGCTCAGTTGGTTAAGAGCTTGCTCAAGAGTGCGAGCTCCGAGCAACAGTGGTTTGAGTCCCAGCCCGAGCCCGAGCTGAGCTGCCGCTGAGCTGCTGCTGAGTTGCCAACAGGTGGCAGAATGACTCAGCTAAAAAAAAAAAAAAGCTGTGGGTGTGCATGTTGAGTTTATCTCTTCTCCAAGCTAAACCCACTAACTACAATAGTTCTGTTTCTCAGTTGACTCACTTGACCCTACATCCACTTTCTTGTCTTAGCTCAGAATAAATTCTAAATGACAATTTGTTGTTTTAATGATTGATGATCCAAACTTCTGAGTCACCAACCTGAGCCTCTGGCGTACAAAGCACAGGAAACTGTGCTCTTGGTGGCGATAATGCAACTTTTTGGTTGGTCACTGATAACACCAGGTTTTCTTCTCATTTGCTTTTTCCTCCTAACTGCAAAAACAAAAGAAAATCTCCTCTAGCTGACTTTAGTGAGTTGGGGTTCAGGTTTTAAAAATATAATGTTCATCTTTTTGAACAGACTTTCTCTCAAAATGTGGAGCAAGAAGTACATTGTTATATATAAAGATATTCACTAAGAAAAGAGCTGGAAATGGTGCTAAGTATGAGAGCACCTAAGATCAAGGCCCCAGGGCACACCTGTGAGTGGTAAGGACCCCCAGGCTGGAGTGCTTCTAGAATACAAGTGCTCCCTGCACAGCTGCACCTCTTCTCCCTGCCTCTCCCGGCCACTCCACATCTCCCACTCCTCATGCCATGGCATCCTAAGTGTTCTTAGCAATAAGAGCTGTGATTAAAAAACAAAATAGAGTGAATGTTTAAATAAAACATCGATTCAAAACGTTTGCCTTTCATGGTCATTTTGACTTTGGGGAAGGGCCAGAAGTCCCACGGTGCCAGATCCGGTGAATAAGGTGGATGAGGACACACCATTATGTTTTTATTTGACAGAAATTGCCATATCAGAAGTGATGTGTGACATGGAGCCTTTCCATTGTGATCACAAAATACGGCGAATGCTGTTGCCGAGTGCCATCCAACAGAAAGGCAGGGATCTTCAATATGGGAAGCGGCGCGTCGAACCTTAGTTAACAGTGTGTGACAAGTTTCAATGTTTGGTGCAGTCAGTCCTAAGTGAGCTACGGTTGAGAGAAGGTGTGTTTTAAAGTGTGCAGTAAATCATCCTCCATCAAGACAATACTCCATGTCACATATTGCTTCTGGTATATGGCAATTTCTGTCAAATAAAAACATTACGGTGTGTCCTCATTCTCCTTATTCACTGGATCTGGCACCGAGCGACTTCTGGCTCCTCTCCAAAGTCAAAATGATTCAGGACATCGAGGCAGTCATGCAAGCGCAACTAAAGACACTCATGAAAGAGGACTTCCAGAACTGCTTCAGAAAGTGGCAAGAGCGTTGGGATAAGTGTGTTCGAAGCGAGGGGGAGTATTTTGAGGGAAATTAATGGCAATGTGTCTTTTACTGTAATAATTTTTTTATTTAAACATTCACTGTATTGTTTGATTACATCTCATACACCATACTGCTAGTCATCCACATTGTGCCATTCTTTGTGAGAAACCAAACACAGCACCAAAACTGTGGTTTTCTAGCTCATGTGTCTTAATGGGTAAACAATTCAAAGTAAGCTGGTAGAGTGGGCAAACAAGATGTAATCTGTTCGTAGAAAGGCACTGCCGAAGTGAGGAGAGGGACCTTTAAGAGTGATTCATACTTAAATATATGCGCCATCATGTTGTGCCCCTATCAAACAGGATTCAAATCAGCAAAAAGAACCACAAACCCAACCTCAAAATGGATTCTAAGAGAAAATACCCTTAAAAAAATTTCCCTTCCTATGAGAAGGCAGACCAAGAGGAAGTTTATCCTCCCACCTACAAATTTCCCCCAAAGGTTTCATCTGGAAGGTGTTTCTCTTGGGACACACAGCGGGGCCCTCTCTTCTGTCTGTGTCTCCCATGGCACATTTCAGAGGCTAAAACGCCAATCTGGAGACTACGATGGGCCTCAGGACCACCAAACAGGTGCGGAGAGGCGCAAAGCAAGGCCCTGGTCGCCAAGAGGGTATGTAGACATTTACTGTTTTCCTGCATTTTTCAGGGCTGAGTTTTTAGGCAGAGGGAGCTCCTTTTTGATGAATTGCTGATATTGTGCACTAAAAGCTATTACATTATCTCTTTCAAACCAGTGCCTATCTTTCCATTTTTATGTGTGAAGGCAGACATAGATTATTAAAAACCCTTAAGAGATTCCTATTCAATTGCCCGTCACGTTTGTATAACAGACGATATAGGTAGATGCTAGGTTTAGTTAAAATATAGCCGTCTTAAACAAAATCACAAAAAATAGAACAATGCTTAGTAAACGTTCCCAATCTGTGCTTATGTAAGTAATCAATATAAAATGCCCTTTAAATTAAAACTTAGTTTTTTTAAGGACCAGTTCGGCATTTCCGAGAACCCCAGCTATTTTGCTGGAGAGGCAGTGCGAGTGTGCCAGTCGTGGGTCGTCCCACTCGGCTTGTGTAGCGCTTGCCCTGAAGGTCATGTAATAACTAATGCCCAAGAGAAATCAAAATAGAAGTTGTTAGCGTGTGCCGTCATGCAGCGGCACAGTCCGCCTGAAGATCTGGAAGCTGTTTAGCCGAGATCGCCCGCGGGCGTTTCCACCCGGGCCTGCGCGCCCAGTGTCCCCGGCTCAGCGCGATCAGGGGCTGCTGTGCGGGTTTTAAGGCTGATTTCTCCGCAGCCCGTCGGGGCAGCAACCGCGCGAGCTCGAGGGACCTACCCTGGAACCTGGGCACGAGCTGGAAGGACGGCGGCGGCGGGGCGCAGTTCGGGCTGGGACGTACCGGTCCGGGACCGTCACGGCGCCCGGCCCCGCCCGCACCGCTGCAGGAGAGACAGAGGACGCGCTGAGAGGGGTTTCGGTGGTTGCCAGAGCAGGAAGTGAGCGCGAGGAAGAGCGGGTGGAGAGCTGGGAGGAGTAGGAGAGGAGAAGGAGGGAGAGGAGGAGCAGGAGGAGGGACGCAGGGCTGCGGCGCCTCCTCCGGGCGTTGGCACCACAGGACTTTCCTTCCCCGCCGTGCGCTCCCCTCCTGTCCGGAGGCTGCCACCCACTCTCGGGCGCTCGCCTGCCCAACCGTCCCATGGCTTCTCCGGACGACCCTCTGCGCGCAGGTAAAGTGGCCCAGCGCCGTGCGCTCACCTGGAGGCGCCCGGGCCACGGCGGGGGGTCGGGGCCGAGCCTCCTGCGACCCTTGTGGGGCGCCCACCCGGGGTCCGCGCGCGGTCGGCGGCTGGGGACAGTGGCAAGAGGTTTCCCCCTCCCCGACCCCCGCCACACACACACACATGGCCCAGCCCCCATCACTCACGTGTGTCCCGGACTCGCCTCCGGCTTCCCACCGCCCCGGCGCTTTTGTTCTGGACTCAGGCCGCCAGGTTGGGACAAGTCCCTCCAACCTCTCTGGCAGAAAAGAGCGCGAGGGGTGGATTACCCTTTTCTTTTGGGCTCTCCCTTTCTCCCCCTCACACGCCATCTCATTTCTCCTCTTCTCTCCTCATTTCACTTGTATTAAATGGATTTGTTCTAAATATTGGCCCTGGAGCTATTTCATACATTAGCATCACAAAGCCAAGGAGCTGGCCCACCTGTGGGACCCCACCTATAGGGCCTTTGATTACAACAGCCTCTGGTCCCATCCTTACTTTAAAACACTGTACCTGAGGCCAGAATCTAGATTGTTCTCTAATCTCGCTTGAATTTAAAATTCTCCTCAGTCTTGGCCTTCCAGGAGTTCTCTGTCCTTGCTCTCCCATAACCTGGCCTCCATCTTCAGTGCATGCTTGTTGAACACATGAATGAATGAATGAATGAATGAATGAATGAATGAATGATTTACACCTGGGGCAGGAGGAGTCTTTTTCTAGTTTTGTGGAGGTTGGGAAGGCTGGGAGGGCAGGGGGGTGGGAGTGGGGGTGGCGGGGAAACCAGATACACAAATGCAGAGCCGCATATATTGTAACTGCTTAGGTAAACGTGGTTCCTATTTTACTTTTTGGGCTCTGGCAAGAACAGAGCTTGCATGTTCGTCCTTAATTTGTGGCTTAAGCAGTTAGATGGAGACATTATCTAGAGATGGGTGAGATGACAGCTACATTGGCATCTAGATATGCTGGGTTTGGATGAGTTTCCTGGACATTTTAAAGAAAGAGCTAGACTCCTCAGGCGGGGAATGGTCAACATTTTATGATGGGAGAAGGAAAATGCACTGTCTTGTTATCCTTCCCCTCCCTCCATACCCATTGTTTGGACATCAAGGGAGAAACCCTCCCACACCCCATGCCCACTTTCACAAGAGGCATTAGGCCAGAGTTTACTAACAGGGCTCTCAGGTCTCATTAAATGATGATGGTGAGGGGGATTCAAAAAGATCTTCATCAGAAAATAGAATAAAATAAAATAAAGATTTTTATCAGGATCCGTTGAATGGGGCTAAATGTAAAATCTGCTCCTGACCCCCTCATCAATGGCAGCAGAGCAGTGGTGCTGGGAAACACAGCTTAATAGTCACACAATCTATAAAAAAAATCTCAGTGAGTCAATAGTGTGATGAGGCCACCAGGGTGGCTAATATGACCTTAGATGACAGAGAGAGCACTGAGGAATCTAAATTCTGGTGATTGGTCTCTGAGTCAGCATGGCCCAGCCAAACGGGGGCTTACAACCTGAAACAAAAACTTGGAAATCCCAGCCCATGTGGCATGATGGGAGAACTGGGGATCTGATGACAGGAGGATGTCTAAGGAAGGCATGTCTCCTTGTCTTTATGGAGTAGTACTTATAGGTGGAACATTTTTGGCTCCTACAGAGGGGAGATGCCTCCTAAAGTAGAGATCTTGTCACTTGCAGAGATATTGAAAAACATATTCAGGCATCTAAAAGACGTCCCCGTGTCTATGCCCACTCGGATTTATCAATAAGATGAGGGTTCGTCCATTAAAAAAAAAAGTTTAAAAATGACGTCTCATTTTTAATACCTCATTTAGTTTCTGTAACCTTCAGGGCACACCCACCTACCCCTTCCATTTCTGTAATGAAGCCACAGATGGTGCCACTATGTGGAACTTGTTAAATGGAATTTTCACTTCTCCACCCCAGACCAAGTTTCCGCCCTCTCTTGCCTGATTTCCCACACACACCTCCCAACTGGCATTTCGCACCCACTGTTGCCTTCCACCAACCTGTTCACCAAAATGTAGCCAAAGTGACCTTCTACAAACAACTCACCTTGCCATCCCTCTGCTTAGAAACCTGCAGTGACTTACCGACAAACCCTCAGTCCTTAAATTGCTTCCATACTCTGTACACTGGTCTCTACCTCTCCCCTCCACCAACTGTGCCTTTCTGTCCTGCAGCCACTCTGCCTCCTGGTTCCTCGAGACCCTGGGACCTCCTGTCTCTGGGCCTTTGCACAGGTCCTTCCTGAAAGCTCCCTCCACCTGCTCCCACTGGGGTTACCGCCTACTCATCCTTCACATTTCAGCTCAAAAGCGATGTAGATCAAGCCCCGTGTTAGACGTGCTTGTGGTCCCTGGATCTTCCCTTTTAGCGCATGTCCCTGTCACTAGCCGTGATCATTATTTCACTACCATTCGCACCACCACATTAGACTATTAAGTTCTCAGACAGAGTGCACTTCCTTTTTGCTCAGCAGATATCTCAAACACCTGCACAGTCCCAGCACATAGAATTACCGCCTCAGTGAATGACTGAAAAGAGAGAACATGTAACCCCATATGCTTCCAACTGTGGGCAGAAAAAGCTCTTCCCATTTTAGCATCTGAGGAGCTCATTTCTCAAGTTAGATATGCGAACTAAGTTTACCTAGCCAAGTTAAAAAAAACGTTTGTATATCCACATGCATGTAACAAAGGTGTGTCTATGTGATTATTCTGTTATGAGTTTAATGAAATAAACACCTTTTTACATTAAGAAAATTGACAAGACTGTTGAGGTCACATGGGAGGAAAACAGTCATGCTGATGACAGTGTCGCTATCTCACTCTATCTCCGCCACCAGTCAACAATCTAACATGGGGTGAGTCAGGATTGCTCGTCGAATGTGAATAAAATCTGGCTCATGTTCATACAGATATTAAGACAAAGAGGCTTTGAAAGGCTGGGTTGAGGTGATGGTTCAGTTCCTTGCTTCCATGCAATGAGCTAAGTCCCACTACCACCCAGCACATCAATGATATCCTCCCTTTGTTCCCAGGGTCTCCTTTGCACTGCACAGGGGGCTTTCCCTCCACCCTGCAGCCCTGGCCCTAGAGACCAGCTCAGGACAGACAGCCCCTTAGGTGGCAACTCAGCTCTCACTGCCCCTCACAGTCCCCCTGTGTGCTTAGATGGGTCCTAGGTGCAACGTGCCTTCCTCACAAACCCTAGGAGCACTGGGAGCCAAAGCCAGGACTCCAGGGGAACCGCTGCAAGCAGCACCCTTGTTTGAGAAGCTGGACCAACCAGCTCTTTGTCCAGACCCACCAGCGAGTGGCGACTGGCTATGGTTCTCCTTTCTCCCGCCTCGTCCTTCTCTCCTCCCCTCCCTGTGGGTTTTTCCAATGCCCACTTCATTTCTTTTCCTTTCTTTTAATGCCTCTGTTTTCTAAGCTTTCTCCTCTCTACATGCACCTGGACCTCCTCTTTCATCTTTTTGTTCTGTCTCTTCCTTCTTCCTCCCTTTCATTGGCCTCTCTTCAGTTTGATCCTCTCTGTAGGCATGAGGGCCAGACTGACATGACTAACACACAAATGCTAGGGGCGCCCTTTCTTGATCCCTGGTATTTTTTTTCTGCCTGTGCAGCCCCTGCTCTGGGGTCTGAGGATGACAGAGGGGGACTGCTGAATAACAGAGAGAAAGATAAATTAAAGGTGGTTAGCACCACCCCCAGCTGTTCTGCTGCTCTGAGAGCTTTGGTAATCCTGAATCCAGTTAGCACTTTCGGTGTCCTTATAATCACTAACGCAAACAGCTGTAGGTCAGAAGAAAAGCGATGGTACAAAAAATAACAACAAATGAAAAATAAATTAACTCTGAAATCACAAGTTCAGAGAATTGCCTTTAGTTATTCACTAGAAAGCACTAAAGTCCCCACCCTTTTGGCTCATGCTGCTGGGAATCTGGGACACAGACGCACTTCCCTCTTTGTTGTCTCTGAAATGACATCCTTAGAGCAGATCTTTGAACTTCTTTGGAGAAACCATCTCTAGAATCTACTGGCCCTTATCTAATGGGACTAATAAGGGCAGATGTCAGAATGTGACAGTGCGGCTGTGTGGCAACTCGCCAGGGTCTGTGTTGGGCGACGTGTGATTATTCCTCCCGTTGAGGCTGCTGGGTGCTGTGCATGGTTCCCAGGGTCCGGAGAGTCCGGGTCCCTCCATGATGAGGTTTGGTCTTTGGGTGGATGATGAACAGATGAGACTGTGGATTTAGAGTTGATGCTGGAACGATTTAGGGGGATGCTGGGTGAATGTATTTTGCACATGGGAAGTACATGAATTTGGGGGAGGCCAGAGAGTAGACTGTTATGGGTTGAAATATTGTTGGCATTCCAGTCCCCATTACCTTAGAAATAGACCTTATTTAGAAATAGAGACTTTACATGGGCCGGCCGAGTGGCTCAGTCGGTTAAGAGCACAAGCTCTGAGCAATAGGGTCGCCAGTTCGATTCCCACATGGGCCAGTGAGCTGCGCCTGAGCTGAGCTGCCGCTGAGCTGCCAACAGGTTGCAGGATGGCTCAGTCGGTGAGAGCACGTGCTCCTAACAACAAGGTTGCCAGTTGGACTCCCGCATGGACTGATGGGCTATGCCCACCTGCAACTAAAATTGAACACGGCACCTTGAGCTGAGCGGCCGCAAGCTGACGAAGGGTGGCCGGATGGTGACTGGACTTGGAGGTGAGCTAGCTGCGCCCTCCACAACTAAGATTGAAGGACAACAACTTGGCTGTTCCCCTTCCCCAATTCCCCAGTAAAATCTTTTTTTTTTTTTTAAAGAAAGAAATAGAGTCTTTACAGATGTAATCAAGTTAAAATGAGATAAATAGCGTGGGCTCTAATCCAATATGACTGGTACCCTTAAAAAAAAGGGGAAATTTGGATACAGAGATT